TTGGAAATTATTAAAGGTTACTTTTCTTGTATGCGCTGCTTATGTGACTTGTTTTCTTCCCGGAACCGCTTTTGTTAAATTTTTTGCACATTTCAGGATGATCGTTTGGTACCATTTGTTGCATACGCCTTGGCTCATGGAGGCTATAAACTGACGCATGAAGCTTTGCTTCTTTATACACACTGTGCCCAAATTCACTCTTTCCCAACAAAATGGTACATGGAATTTCGCATTCTTTGATTTACTTTCCCTTCTGTTTGCTTTCTGGGTGTCTTTTTTAGCTGTCGCATGATTTCAGGTTAAGCGATTTGACTGCAAGTTATCTGAAGGAGAGAAATGGAAGAGTGGATCAGTTACAGCGGTAATTTACATTTTTCGAAACCCAACATTCGTTCATTTTTGCGCATAACTTATTTCACTGTATTCTGACCCATGCACTTCATCGCAACGTGGGAGTACTGATGGGCGAGGCAATGATGAGGCGTCGCAGAACAGAGCCTTCATGTTGGCAATGTTTTGGTTTCATGCCTTTTTTGCATTTATGCAATGCAAAAACGCATGTTGCCGGGGAGGTTGTTAGTGTGTGTACGTCTGTGTCGAGTTTTCATCTCAAGACCTACAAAAGCTACAGGGCTGAAGCTTTGGGAACTTGATCGACACGCATGTACGAACCCCTATCCCCAAAATGGACACTCTTGCCCACGTGGTTGTTCGCGGATAAATTGCTAGCTGGGAAGCCAGGAAAGTTAGAAGGCTGGAATTTTAATGAGATGTTTCTCGTCCACGTAGAACTTAGTGATTTCAAATTCAGCTCCAGGTGCACGTGGTTCTCACCTACGGGCCCCTGAAAATTTTTGGCAGATAACTTGCTAACTCTGGAACTGAAAAAGCTAGAAAGCTTAAGTTTTAAGGGGATGTTTTTTTGACAGTCGTGGCGGCCATTCTCAATTCTTTTAGCTAGAAGCATCTGCCAGGAAAAGCAGTGATGTTAGAGACAAGAACTTGCGGAGAACGGTCTGTACAGTTCTAGTTCATTGTCGAAGGAAGAACTAACTCACAGCCCATCTTCAGGAAATTAGTTGAGTTTCTGCACGTATACGAACTCAGTGAATGCGAGGATGAAAAATTTTTTAAATAAAAGGATGGAAAACTGTTTTAAAAAAAGGCTGAGAAAGTGGTTTTAATGTATACTGGAGAAAGTCAGAGTAGAGTTTATGTTAACGGAGTGGGATTTATGTCAGCATGAAGTGGTCACCACAAATCATCACCTGTTAGCTTTACTTGTCATGAGTCGGCGTACTTCTTTTCATGCTGTACTTTAATAAAACCCTCAGAATCGTTCAATTCTTTGCCCACTCCATGGCAGGCAATGATGATGAGATGGAAGAGTTCTGCGTTGAGCTTGAATCGACTTTAATTGTCCGATCTGCATGTAATCACTGTGGGGGAACTGTAGCACAGAGCTTGGAAAGGGAGGAAAGGATGGAAAGAAATGCACTGGCGAATGCAGCAGTGCAAAAAGGAATGTCAGAGATGATGGACTACCTACTTTGTTGATAATATCTGATTCCGGGGAAACGCAACATGGAAATGGATACTATTAACATGCTGATAGCTCGGGCAATCTTGGTATTAGAAGGGCCTCACATAGTATTTAGAAGCAACCCAGTAATATCACTAACATGGAATACCCTTTTGATAGCCTCGGCAGCCCTAGTATTCCTTCTTGAGTGGTTATCTTCGTGCAAGAAATCTAATATTTCGCAAGATGTCGGAGTGCAGCACCGCCGATAGCTTTCTCTCGAATTTAGAAAAAAAGATCAACAGGGAATTGATCAGCCATAAATTCACCTAGACTGTGGAGCAACGAATTCCTTAAATAAGGTCTATTGGTACATAAAACCGTGCAAAAACAACTGCTACGCATCACTGATTAATAGTTACTGTTCCAGAAGTGCGTCAGAATTTTGCTGGAATGATGATGCTGATGGCGTCTCTAGGGGAGTTGCGAAAACATCCGACGGTCGTTCGGTTATGAATGGTGAATTATCAAATGATCCTGACCTGGGCAGAATGCGACAGGAAGCAGCCGTTAGTGCTGAATTATTGCTCATTTACACGTTGATATATTTTTATATCGCAATGCATTTTGTGGCGTTCTGTGTATGAGAAGTACTCCATCTCTGTGGTTGATGCTTGTAACGGTTCTGCGGTAATCTTGGCGTTTTTCCTTCTTTTTTTTTCCCTTTCCTAAAGAGCGCTTGGTGTATGTCATACCCCAGCTGACATTTATTTAGCACTTCAGCGCACCGTACGAGCAAATCTTTTTTATATTCTTCTGTGATGGTGGTCATATCTAATGATGGTGATAATCACCTGTGTGAATGCTTTGCGAAGACAGCTTCGTTGGAATTCGCAAAAACACTTATGTTCCCAAAGCCAGACAAGGAAGAGTGTTTCGCTCGTTGCTTGTGTCAAAAATGTTTCTTAATTTTAAAAACCATCGAAGATATGCGTATCACTTTGTTGGTGAATGGGTTCTTTAAATTTGTTCGTTTCGTGTGTTTATCATTCGAATACAGGGGCTTTGTAATTAAATTTAAAAGTTAGCAATGGTTAATTTGTATCTATTCCTCTGAGCTTCGATGAGTTGTGCTTCTACTCCGGCACTTAAATTTCCGGATGTTCGACATGAAATATGTTATAAAGATATTGATATATATATATATGTATACATATGTATATATATACATATATATATACATATATATTTATGTATATGTATATGTACACATGTATATATACACATATATATGCGTATATATATGTATATATATATATGTATATAAACAATGTGTATATAAGAAAAGCAAAAATACAATGATAATAAGAAAAATACATTCTTTATGACTTGTTTGCCAGAATGATCGATAACATTCAAACTCTTATATTTTTATTTTACATATGTCATTATATCATCATATATATAATGATGACACATACATAAAACAAAAATATGAGAATTTGAATGTATCGATCGTTCTGGCGTGTAAGTCGTAAAGAATGTATTGGGAGAAAATTTTTCTGCCTCTGAAACCGGGCAAAATAAAATACCGAAGATTTTTGGTGATGCTTCCTGTTGATATCCATTCAAGTAATTTTAAATTCACTTTTCATGTCCGCTCAGGTCTCATATACGGGCGCGTAAAATTTCACATGGAAAATTTTTGGTTAGGAAAACCAAACAAAACAGTTGAAAATTCCGTGAGATATTGCCTGTTCATCTGCAATCGTTCAAAGCTAAATTCAGTCCTAACGTACGCCTACGCAGATACATGAAATTTTTGCTGGGAAATTTTGCATTTTAAGAACCAGGCAGTGTATCGACTATTTTCGCACACATCAAAGTATAAAACTACTAAAACAGTAGACTCCTGCTGGATTGAATCGCACGAAACGTACAGCTTACTTTAGTGCGCATCGTTATTTATTGTGCTTGTTACACCCTTACTTTATAAAATAACGCACCGAAAGTTAGGATGAGCAAGGCTTACGCGGAACCGAACCTTTTCAAGTGATACAATTGCCGTTATTTCACTTCCATTCGTAGCGATTCTTCAATCGTAACCCTTCGCAGCCCCACAGTTAGCCACCTTCCCACATGTAATTTGGTCTCCTGCAGACCCTCGACTTAGTCAATTAATGCAGAAATAATGTGTTTAAGGTTCGTGAGCGAGAATTAGATTTGTTGGCCGAAAAAGACGCTGTACTTCATGGTGAACGTCTTAAAAATCTTGATGAGCAGCACCGTGAAGAAGAGGTATTCTGATCTTTAATCCTGTTTTTGTTTGTATTGTCGATTCTTCTCATAAACTGAATACCAAGAGCGCCTGTGCAGTTGGCGTGGTATTCCATGTTAGCAGTTTTGACGAGATGTTCTCATACGTCGGGCGCAGCCGTGCTCGGGCTCCTCGATCCCGGCCTGTACGGTTCAAATGCGCGCCCATCGTTTATTCGAGGTATGTACACCGTCGTTTCGGAGGCCCTTCATATGGTTGTTTATTGCCACTTCAGGTGTGTCATTTGCTGATGAATGACACCCATCAGTTGTCTGCTGTGCATGCAACACGCCATGCTTGTCGAATTTTACTTTCTTGTTTTCTTTTTTTCTCATATTAGCGAAGAATTTTGCAGATTGCAAACCTTCGAAAATGGAAATGCACTTAT